GGATAGAGAGACCGGGATGGTTTTTAATGTGAAGACAACAACAACAACAACAACAATCGTGTGTGTGTTTGTGTTTTCGTCCTATTTGTTATGGCGACAGTCCCCCCATTTTTCGTGGTGAGGCGTGTTTCAGCGTATGTAGTAGAGTAGCACTACAACTTTCAGTGTGTTTCTTCGTACAACTACCACCATCCAGGGTCACACAGACAGGAGGGGGTAAACACCAGGGCTTTTTTCTATTGTTTTGTTCTTTTCATGCCCAACCCTCCTGCGGTGCGTGCTGCATTTTATTTTTATCGCGAGAAGGGTCCAGCCGTCCCTTTCCCTCGTCAACGGTGTTAACGTCGAAGTTTGGTACCCACGAGAGCTTGTCAGCTATATTTCGCTTTCACCCGCACATTTCGTAAAATTGTATCCCCATCCATGGGGATTCGAACTTACGACCTCTGCAACTAGCGGATTACGAGGATACCACTAGACCATCGGGGCGACCGGTGTACTTAATCCTGATTCTCACCACCGACGGCTGTACATCGTATCACATGCGAAGGCCCCACACCCTAAGAGGCGAAGTTGTTTCAGCTACGACGTCTCGCTGAGGAGGTGGGTATGGCACATGGATGGGAGAGGGGAAGAGTAGAGAGAGAGAAAAAGCAGCAGCCCCTTGTCATCAAGGTGCACAGCTGTCACGCAGCGCACCACGAAAAAACAACAGCACCTGCGTACAGGGGAAGTTCGCGGGAGGACTGCTGACCCACAGCCAATCACATGAAGCCGCTTAAATTTGAAAAATTCGCCTGCACGAAGTTTCCAGGAAACTTCATATCTCAGAACCTGGCTTCATTAAACCCGAAAATTTGGAGCCCTAGTAGTCCGAAACTGTGTAATATGTACTGTAACTCAATCCTATTTTCCTATTTTTTTCGTGGAGAAAGTGAGCCTTTGTTTCTTGAAAGCAAATTCTTACTCAGAGTAATTACAATAGATACTCTCTGTCCTCCGGCCGTCGCATGATGACATAGAATATGAAATTATTCATTGTGCGTCCCTGCGCTTCGAACAAACGTTTGTTTCCCTCTTCGCAGCATTGCTTGTTCGTACCTCTCATTTCAAACCTCTACCCGCACACACTTTGTGTTCCCTTTTCCCTGCCGTAAGCTGTATGCTCTTAGTATTGCCTCCGGCCTCTCTTTGTGCTTTTCTTCTTTCTTTCTTTCTTGTTCTCCATGCCCTCTCTACGATGATCTTGGACGATACCTCGAGCTCCTTGTTATTTTTGTTTTTTCCTTTGCTGGCTGCCTGCCACCTCTGCTGCCTCTTTGGTGCGGTGCCTACCCTACACTAATGCGCTGGTGCATACTGCACTGCTGTAGTACCTGGTACTGGTGTTCGTTGTCCTTCGATTTTTTATTTTTTTTGTGGGAATATATATGTGTTTGTTTTTCGCCCCCCGTCTTGCTGCACCCCCTGGGGTGTGGTGCAGGGCGGGGGATGCCTGGTCGGCGGGAACCCGGCACTGAACCCTCCGGCGTTGTAGGCGGGTGTGGGAAGCGTTCCCCGTTCTCCTTTTATTTTATTTTGATCGGTCTCCTCGACGCTCTTTCTCGTTTGGTGCGGTAGCTGGTCTTTCTTTCTATCATTTTGTTTCTCTTCCGAGTGGTTTTTGTACCCTATTTTTTTCTGTTTCTTCGTGGGGTCGTGTATGCCGGGTTTTGAGACCACGGGGCTCCCAATCTTTCTTTTTTAGAGCTAAATGTGAGAAACAACAACAACAACTTTGCCATCGCCATTCAACTTGCGAGCGTAGCGGCGACCGCGAAGCAGTACGCCGCGAAGAGCCCCTGTATACTAGGAACAATATGGTGGACGAAGACATGGTATTCCGTAAACTAGTAAAGGGGAGGAAGACGGAACAACAACAACCAGTAGAAGGGTTAGCACATACATACGACGACGGTACGGGCAAGCAAGGAGGACAGAACGCCGACCCACTAGTCTAAACGTCGATGTTAGTGAGTGTCAATGGTATGGTGTACCATTGGGGGTTTCGGTGTACTGAGATGGCATTGTGCTACGGCCTGCCAGTTGACATAGAAGAAGGGGGACTTGGATTCTGGATGAGAGAGGGAAGCGACCGGTGTCGCCCCCCTCGTTATTGGCAAGGGAGTTACCTTCCAGACTTCGTGGAGAATAATAATAAAAGTGACACTTCGGAAAAATACAACGAAGTGTTGTCGACATCAGATCAGTGAGTGGTAGTTTGCAATTTGCGCCACCTCCGTGCTGTGGGCAATTTGCTCGAGGAAAGAGTCGACTCTGGGATGGAGGGATCCGATACTCCATCTACTACAAGAAAGAAACCTTGCTGATTGATGTGGACTACATACACACAGCAGATGGTACCATAGACTAACTAACCATGTTATGTTGCATGGATCGATGATAACTAAAAATAGCACCCGTTGCTTTCATCCAAAATGTATCAGGAAACATAAAATACAAACACAGAAATACTTCTTAGACTACTTGTTCAAGAGCCGACATCCACGGCGTTCGCTGCGGAAAAGAGAGCTATTATTATTGCCGTTGCTGTTACTGTTGGATGGCGTGCATCGCTAATCCCTCCGCGGTTGAGGAACCAATCCGAGTATTATTGCCACAACAAACAGTACAGTCTACTACAGCATCCTCGAGCTGGCATCCTCAGCTAGTCTATCCGTCCCTACTCCATGTGTTCAGTGCAGCAGTAGTGTTTAGTATTGTACGTTCGGCAAGGAAACTTTAAGGAATCTCCCTGAAGAAACGGTGGACTAACAATGGTTTTCCGGTAGCCTTCGCAAGTGAACACGGACAGACTTTTCCAATGGTGGGCTACATGTATTGTAAAGAGTGGTCTGGGTTGCGCAGACAGACACGTGGTCTCTACTGCACAACAGCAGGGCGTCACAGCGAAAGAAATGTTGTTGCGTACCGGTAATGTTTCCCCGGGACGTGTTTTGCCTTCTGACTGTACAAAGAAGGGCAGCTCAAGAAGGGAGCGGCGTCTGCGGGGGTTGCAACTGCATTCCAATAATCTTGCGCAAAAGAAAATAGTTCCTTTTTCTCAAGCAACATACGCGAGTTTTGTGTGAAGAAAACAACAACAAAAACAACAACAACCACTACAGCTGTCTCCACCCGGCACATACACAAAACATCCCCTGGCTTGCCCTGGCCGTGAAAGTATCTCCCTGGGGGCACACTGAAGTCGCAGCAGACACCGTCAGCCTTGCGGTGGAGTGCCCTTGCCTCTCTTGCACAAGTAAAGACGCACAGCAGTAGAGAGTAGAGAGAGATCTATGCATAGAAACATCATGCGCGTCACCTTTCGGGGAGCGGCGACTTCGGTCTTGTTGATTTCAACGGCAAGCGGAGCGAGCCAGGTTCCCTCGCTGGGCTTCTTCGAGCAGACGCTGCTTACCACCGCCGGGCTGGACTTCGACAGCGAGGCCGCCTTTGCGTTTGCGTCCGCCTGGCAGGCCGGGGACAGGCAGGGTAGAAGCGCTCCCTATCTCTCGTGCGTCAAGCATGGTGAGGGCAGGCACGCCTACAGGAAGCTCGAGGGCTTCCTTGGCGCGCGCGCGGTGAGGCCTGTCTCGTCGACGGCGACTCATGGCGCGTGCTTCATGGTGACCGCCTCGCCAGCTGAGGCTACCCAGCTCTCGTCATGGGAAGACTTGACTACCTTCGGGGCGTTTCCGGCTGCCCTCAAGATTGCGCCCGGGCTCCTCGACCATGGCAGCTGCGACGGCTCAGCATCAGCCCGTGACGCAACAACAACAACAACCAGTGATTGTTCTGTCGAGCGGCTGTCAACGACGCACGGCGCGTTGATGCAGGCGGACAGCGCCCACGGTCTCATGGTCGAGCTCTCGCCGGGGACTCTGCCCTCGCACGGTGGTGGCGATGGCAACGAAGCGAAGGCTGATGAATTCATCCAAGAGTTGCTCAACAGCCTGTCTTCGCCCTCGCTGGATCTTCACGCCATGACCTGTTGGTCTGATCTTGTCATGAAGGGCGGTGACCACCTCTTCAGCGCGGCGGGGGCCCTCCGCGGGCGCGAGTGGAGCAGGGCGGCCACACTGGTGAACGAGCGGAGCGAGTCGGAGCTGGAGACTCCGAGCCAAGTGTGCGGGTGGGAGCAAGTTGTTGTCCATCATGCTGCGAACGACGTGCTGCTCGTGGCTGGTGAGTTCGGTCGGACGCGTTTGTTCCTACTCTCCCTCTCCCCTCGCCTCTTTCTGTGTTTGCCTCTCATGTGCCGCCCCTTGTGTTTCTCATACGGAAAGAAGGAAAAACACTCACACGAAAAAGAAAAAATACAGGAGTGTGGCGTGGATGTGTGGATATGCTTGGTAGTAGTGGTACGCATACTGATGCTGTTGTTTCATGCTGCTGCTGCTGCTGCTGCTGCTGCTGCTGCTGCTCCTGCTGCTCGTGTTGAGCCATTTATCTATTTCTTAGTACTGTTGATCGATCAACTCCGCCCAACAACATTTGTGGAGCTTTTCTTGATTCTGTTCGTTTCCCGAACCGAACACACCGGAAGTGTTGAAGTGTTGAAGATTTTCGGGTGGTTTTATTATCCCCGATGTTTCTGCAAGCAACTTGCCACTTGCAACCGCTTGACATGCTCGCAGCAGCAGCAGCAGCGAGCGGATCATGTCACGAAATTTGGGTATCGCTTATCACCCCTCGTTGTTCTGGGTCAGCTTGCGACCACGTCGTTTATTGCGTTCATTAACAAGTACCGAGTTGCAGTGTACGATGCGTGGGAGAATGGGAGTAGGGAATGGATGTACAGATACCTTCTGGTTTGGGTAAATCCTAACCATTGTTTACGCCAAGACAGCAGTACTCGTGGTTGTGCGACAAGCACGATGACTGCTCCGTGGTGGTGGATAGTGAAACCCTCAGTTGTTGTTGTTGTTGTTTCTCACATTAGCCCTGTAGTCTACAATAAATGGGGAGCCTGTGGTCTCAAAATCCGGCACACGCGACGCCGCGGGGAAACAAAACAACAATAGGGTACAAATCACTCGGAAAAATACAGGTAGTTTTCTCTGACGCTATGATTCCATTGTTAAATCTGTCTCTGACTCTTTTCTATGATAGAGATGGACTCGTTGTGTCAGATTAAAAAAAAATGATAGAAAGAAAAGAACAGGTACCGCACCTACCGTTCGAGAAAAGAGCCCTCGGAAACCGATCAAAATACTAGACCCCGAGTGGGGGGAGTTTTTCCGCGCGCACCATTACAACAGCATAACCCTTGCTGCGGAAAGTACCTGCAGTAGGCTGGGTCGTGCGCCCCCCGTGAAGAAGTGTTGCTTTTGTTTTGGTACACACACCCGAAATGTTGTTGATGTGAATCGTTGTTGTCGGCACTCCGTATGCGTTAATAATTAAAGAAGTAGAAAAAAATGCCCTCCCACTCAGAACACAGCAGCAGCAGAATATTTGAACTAGCACGCGAGTTGTCGCCGATCGCGAGCCCCTCCTCACTACGCCCTGTCGTGGTCTGCAAACCGCACGCGAACACCCTCTGTGATATGCAGATAGTGAAAGCCGCGAGCTGTAGAGGAGGAGATGCGTGGTAGCTGGTCTGAACACGTGCCAAGTTGGCCACTCGGTGTGGACGAGGTCAAAAAAAGAATACAGCAGCAGCAGAACCAAACCGACACACACATGCAGCAGAACCAAACCGACACACACGTGTCCCAAATGACAGTTGAAGGACGCCGCAAAGAGAGGACAAACCGGGTGTGAACGAGTGACTTAGGGGTTGGTGCAAGGAAACAACGACGCGAGAAGTGTTCACCTATTAGGAGTATGCTTGGGCACTCGTTTTTTTTTGCAGAACGTCGCCAATTGGCGCAGTTATCGATGAAACGGATTGTGAATAGAGTACATATCGGCACCGAACGCAGCGACGCGGGCACGAAATGAGAAACGCTTGGGTGCGGAATGATGGCCTTGTTACGCTACAGCTTGTGCACTTTTTCGCACCGAAAACGATCATCAAACGGCTTGTTTATCGCTGCAAAGGTGGTGCGAACACACACACACACACACACACACACACACTTCTTGTTCGAAATGAGGATCAGAATGATGGTAGCGAAAACAAGGAGGACACTGGTGAAAGTACTCCTAAACGAACTCGAGTACTAGGTAATAGCCTTGGTAGACGCGTGCATTTTTCGTCTGTTGCTGCTGTTTCTGTTTTTAATCCGAAGGATAGTTTAGCCTCCCCCATGCTGCCCCCTCACGGGGTCCCAGTTCATGGTAGATAGAAGTGTTTTGTGTTTTCAACCGCACTAAGACTGACGTCTTTTCATTGGTCAGCCGGTTAGCGCGGTCGATGCTAATAATAAAAACACACACAAACACACACACACAGACATCAATTTGAGAACAGTAATTCATTCAGGGGTCGGGCTGACAGGCGGTGTTATTCAACGTGCGCAGAACCCAGGCGGGGAAACAAAAAGGACCCATCTAAAACAATTTTTTTGCGAAAAAAAAACTCCGCTATCGCTCCGTTTTTTTGCGCACGCGCGCTTCGCGCGCAGAAAAAACTCCTAAAACAAAAACAAAACTAAAAAGAGAATGCTTCCCACACCCGCCTGAAGAAAAAATCAAAGGGTAACGTACCAGCACCAGGCACTACGCACCAGGGCATTCGAGTAACGGAGCAAACAGGACAAAGAGGCGGCAGATGGGCAGACAGCCAGACGTACAAAAACAAGGGCAACAGCAAAAGTGAGATCAAGGTAACCAACACAGCAGAGTAGGCAGGGAGGTCATGAAAAAAAAGAAACACAGCACAGAGGCCGAAGGCAATACAAAGGACATACATAAAGGAGTATAATAGCATACAGCAGGGAGGGAAACAGGGCGCAAAAACATCAGCCGGGTACAAAGTTCGCCACAAGTCCTGCCTCAGCCGCCCTACTCGCTTCTACAGCAGTGTCCGGTCGCCGTTTCTTCCCCCCCACCGCCGCTTCCCCGACTCTCTTTCTCTTCGGTCCTGAGATGGCCGTACTCTCTGCTTCTGCTTCCCTCGCGCGCTGGCGCTTCGCGGACGCTTCCGCCTCCTGCCTGTGCCATTTCCTCATGAACCATGCCGCCCCGTCCTCGACCTTGTTGTACCACACCTCCGGGTCCTTGGCGCTCTCTTTCCATTTACCCCCTTCCTTTTCGTCTCCCATGTTGAAGGCCACGAGGTCCTCTCCTAGACGAGACACCCAGTCGCTCTCTTTAGAGAAGCGGTATCCNTTTTCGTCTCCCATGTTGAAGGCCACGAGGTCCTCTCCTAGACGAGACACCCAGTCGCTCTCTTTAGAGAAGACGAGAGAAAGAGAGAGAGAGAGAGAGAGAGAGAGAGAGAGAGAGAGAGAGAGAAGAGCACGGCCTCCTGATGCCAGAACAAGCTTCTGTCTGAGGTGCATATGAAGTACTACTCGAGGTACAAGCCTTCTTTACAAATGAAGTCAAGTCGTTGATGCCCGCGGCCAGTTTCCCCGACGAGTCCTCTCTGTACGTCGCCTTGCGTGTGCAGCAGTCATATCAATATTAATTACCGAGTGCCCAACACGCCCGTATGCGTATGTGTCAGAGCCTACCAGCGCATGTATTATACTTCTAGGTTTTGCTGTTCTATGGTTGCGTCCGTTGGGTCGTGCTGATGATGCGTTTGGACGTTCACGTTGATAACATTCCGACACGTGATGTTTGAGAAATGGTCCCGTCATCACCTGAAAAGCTCCTCCCGCAGTTTCTTCAGGTTTGCAACAGCAGCACTTGTGTGACTATTATATATCCTACAATTAGCCCGATTCTTTGTCCATGTGTACGTGCAACCAGATCCAATAACTAAATCGATCGCGGGTTGTTGTCGTTGTTGGTCCAATATGAACGGATCATGCCTGGAAAACAGGACTTAGAAAACACAAGACACCTCAAGCTCTCGGCCACACCGTCAGAAACGTTACAACAAGATACAAGTCCGTGCGATAGCCCCAAGGCAAACCACAAACTAGGGGTAGCTGGGGGGGGGGGGGGGGNAATGTCTTCCCTAGTCTGTCTATCCTAACGATATCCCTTCCCGCCTTTTCAACCCACCTCCTATGCCCCAGTACAGCTACCGTCCTTTCCTCTCTATTCCATGCCTCAAACATCTCCCTGTACGTCCTGGGGGGGCAAGTATCAAAATCGTCCTACTTGTTCTGGTACTCCCACGCACCACCTACAGCATTGGCTTGAACTACAATGTCAATGTTTTTCTTAGGGGGGAGAGCGAGTTGTTCGGCATCCTCTTCGTTGTCGAGTCCTCGAGCTTTCTTTGAAATCGGTCCAGGGGGTGTGATATCTTACGCAACTTACATAAATATGTACGGCGGTATCTACGTTTCAGTGTATGCATACATTAGGCTTCTTGACTGAACACCTGTTCTTTGGTCAAGTTCTTTTGTTTTGGAAATTTTGAACCCCCAAGGTTCTTGAGTGCGGGCCGGGTCATTCTGCAACACAGGTCCTCGTCGGCTTGCCAAAGGAACTGACAGGTCGGCCGTTGATTGACATCTCTTTGCCGTGGAATCGCTCAAGTTAGTTGGGCGGTCGCGCGAATTTCCAACAAATAATCCGTAGTCCGATCTACATGTGCAAGACAGTGCCATTATTTTGCTCAGACTTGACCACCGCGGTGACTTCCTCTCCCTCTATTCGTTCTTTTCGTCGGTAGTGTTGTTCTTGGTCGTGTTGATTCCACGGCATTTTCATTTCGTGAAGCTCGACGCTGTTTTTCAGCAGTCCTCCTTCATGGCTGTCGCCTCATCAGACTACCGCTCCAGAACATGAATCCCAAGGGCATCTTGGCTTCGTCCATCGACCGGCCTGTCTGTCTGCTTATGCCCCTTGCACTTTTATACGTTGAGTTTGCGTTTGAAATCGTTTAAATTGTTTTGCGATGGCGCGAAGCGCTAAAAACAGTGGAAGTAGCAGCAGCAGCAGTTGCACGTTCAGAAAAGCCCTCGCGATGCCTGGCCGTCGGTAGGAGAAAACATGCGCACTCGGAACCAATATTCAGTCGATGTGCGACGCTGGGCCGACTTCCACACTCCTCGCGCCTCTTCTTGATTCCAAGGCCTGGACCACCTGCTGCACGACGGGGGGGAGGTCAGCGGCGCGAGCGAGGAAGAGGCGGCGGAGCTGCGGATGGCGTGCTACATGGGCCTGGTGTCTTTCTTCGCCAGCAGGCACGAGGTGCTGAAGGTCACCGGGTGGAACAGGAAGGTGCGTGAGAGAGAGAGAGAGAGAGAGAGAGAGAGAGAGAGAGAGNAGAGAGAGAGAGAGAGAGAGAGAGAGAGAGAGAGAGAGAGAGAGGCAAGACGCGCTGTTTCTTGATAGCGCAACAGTCGGAGAGGCGGCACTCCGGTGTCAGCGATTTGTTATTTATCCACAACTACTGTAGGACGGTGCGAACACCGGCCGATACCTCTCAGGAAAGCCCTCGACGGGGTGTTTCCGAAATCACCCTTTTCGGAGGTGACACCCCCCTGGTTGTGGAGAAATACTCTATGGAAAAACGCGAACACGGGAGTGCCATCGCTCTGACATTTACGGTAATGCTTGACGTTTACTTTCATCCTTAATGATACTTGAGATTTTGGTGCCCCTCGCCAGGGGTGCGGACAAAAGCGTCCGCGAGGAGAATGAACTTGGTTTTAGCAGGGGGTACGTCAGGGGTAGGGATAGGGATACGAGAGCCCCTCCTCTCTGTTTCATAGGTTTATGCTGGTAGTAAAATCCTTGGCAAGACGGCCCTTTTCGTGGAGGGGGAGGGAGGGAGGGATGCTTGGCTATCGCAGTCGTCGTAACACCTTTTTTTCACGTGCACGACGGTCGAACCATCACGCCATGCCACAGCAGGCGTTCTTGTCATGCACTAGAGGAGCCCTTTTTTTCTGGTGTCAACATTGGCTCCCTTGTTTTTTTGCCACCTTCGGCAGAGCAGAAAGGAACGATTGGCCATCGGTGATCGGTCCTGCGGGAACAACGCTCCGTCCTCTTCAGGACGCGTGGCCATCGGCCTAACAACAAGGCATGCAAGACGTGTGTACGCCCACCCCAACCCCCTTCCTCCCGAACTCGATTCCTTTTTGCCTGTTGCGGTGCTCAGGTCAACCTCAATGCGGCCGCACGAGCGACCATCCAGAGCGCCAGTGTGGATTCGACGCCGCTTACTGACGCCGGCCTGGACGGGTCGGGAGAAGTCATCCAGGTACATACAGAATATTACTTCTTGTCGATTTTTTTTTGTACAGTCTGTAGGTCAGGATGTATACGGGAAAATCACGTGTACTGCATATCGGAAGACTGTTGTACATTAGTTTGTAACTTTGTTTCCGGGTTTCGTTGGGCTTCGCTTGTCTCTTGGAGTGGAAAAAAACGCCAGCTGTGTGAGCTGTTGAGCTGGCAGCTTGCAGCCCGCTGTGGGCTGGTGCTGCTACTGCATTGTCGTTTAGCATCATCACCCCCCTTGATGAAACTGATGTGCTACCATGAGTCCATTCCAGAGGGACCCGTTGAAAAGAGTAGGATCTGCGTAGTGTGTGCGACATCATATCACTGTTGTTCGTGCAGTCCAGACATGGAAGAGCATGGGTCTGCACTGTATCGTATGGTAATCCATCACTCTTGTTCCAAGAGTCATTTGCTCTTCTTTGTATCAACCGGTGCAATTGGTTCGTGGAGCTTTGTGGAAGGCTTGGAAATGAGTCCACGAAGGCTCGCCCAGAATTGAGTGGTCCATTCTGTACGGACCGAAAAATAGTGGTTTCACGAACGCCACCGCGGTTGTGTAACAAGGCGGTACATCTGCGATCTGTCCGTCTCGAACACGCCCACCTTCGCAATGTGTAGCCATCTTGCCGCATGCGCAAAATTTAGAATCACCCCCTCTACCCTCTCTCCGTCTCCGTCTCCCTATGTGTCTGTCTGTCTGTCCGTCTCTCTTTCTCGCCGTTTCATGGTTTTACCGGGGCGTTCCCTGCCACCCCCCAATCACCACTCGTGCTGACTGTGACCGATCGGGAACCCAAGATCATTGATGCCGGCGTGAACGAAACCACGTGCTTCCTGGAGCACGGCGACGGCACCGAGGTCGAGCACGGGTACTACTTCGACTTCGTCGCTTCATCGAACCCTTCCTTCGATAGCTCCTCGGAGTCACGGTCCATGTTCAAAGCCGAGTTCACCGGCGGTGATTTCTTCTACGACAGCGATAGGCGCAAGGTGGGCTGTCGTCATCCCCCATTTTTGTCTGCTGCGTCCGCTCGAAAGGTGTCACAGTGTTGGCTGCACACCGCAGGTTGTTTCGTGGAATTTATCCGGGCTCCAGACGCTCTTGGTGTGAGTGTTTGGTATCTTATTTTCGTGGGGACGAACCGAACGATGCGCGTCTATCTTCGAGGTGTACGAAGGTGGCCAGGATTGTGGAACATTACTTCCAGCGAAGTCGTGCGAGTGCGACGAAGATATTACTCCGACGTGCGTGGATATTCACATTTTTTCATATGTTGGCACTGCTCGCTGTGTACCCTTCCTGACCTTCTTCAAGCGTTCGAAGCGGCATTCATGACACGAGGTGCATCGTTTCGTGGCAGACAATTGAAATCGAACGGCAAACAGACCACACACATTTAGGGGTTTCAGATGAAACGTAACTTGCGTGCAAAGCCAGCCAGCAACGCCAGGTTTGAACCATCAAGAGGGATGTGTGGAGGATTAGAGGTGGGACGCCAAGGATGGGACATGATGTCAACCTGACCTGATTTATGGGGTTCTGTGGAAACTTTCAGCAGGGCAAGACGGTTTCAGCAGGACAAGACGGTTTCAGCGTTGTTATTTTCGTGCTGAGTCAAGTCAAGCCCGTTATTTTTTGCTACATTGCAGAAGGGTTGCCCGGCGTCCTGGGCCTCGTCGATGAGATGCTCCAAAGTGCGGTGGACGGCATAGGCCTCTTGGAGCGATCCTTGTCGCGGCTCACCACGCTGATCCTGGCAATGGTACATTATCATACTAACGAACGAGCTCTGTGTTGCCCGCTTGTGGTGCTGTGCGCCCATGCGTCTATCAGGTGATCCAGTACATCGATCTCATCAACCCGGATACGGGAGACGGCTCCAGCTCTGGCATGCCGTTCGTGTCTGCTGACTCGTTCGTAAGCGACGACGACTTAGGTAAGTCAATCCCCAAGAGTTGATTGCTAATTTATCCTCGACCCGTATCTATTGATAGAGATGGGTTTGTCGTGCTCTATTGAACCTAGAGAGATCGGAACTTTTTTTTCAATGTGAAGACAGCAACAAAAAGGAAAAAGCATTATATGGGTGTACTAGAGAGATCGGAACGGTTTTGTCAATGTGACGACAAGAACGACAAAAACAACAACATATAGAGAGGAAACCAAGTTGTGTGTATGATAAATCGGAGGTTCGCGAGGTCGTGTGTACGCGCTGACACGGCGATGCTCGCAACCAACCCAGATCGAGTCTTCGGGGTAAAACGAACCCTAACCATATCACTACGTCGACATCAAGTTACATAAGTCATCAACACAAGAGCCCCCCCCCCCCTCCCCCCCGGTATCCGCTCTCAATCGATCAAAATGTGATCAACACAGCGATCGAGGTTTGGAAAATGAAGACCAACGCATGGAGAAACCGCGAAACCGATGAAGTTGGCTCTTGCTATGTGTAGCTGCTGCCCTGAGCGCCTCTCTTCTCACTCTCTCTCTCTCGCTCCCTGTGTCTCTGTCTCTCTGGCAACGAAGAAAAATCGGCAGCTCCACGCGTGTACAGCAATGTTTTTTCGTACAACCACAACAATTTTTTGAGAAGTTTTCGTCTTCAAAGTGCCTGTCTCGCGACCAGCTTTTTGCCTCTTCGTCCGACTTTTTTTTTTCCTTTACCGCTATAAAAAATAAAAATACCACCGCCACCAGGCCATGGTACGCATACCGCCACCACCGTCGCCGGGTCGACGATTTCCTCCCCCGCCGAGCTGGTGTCGTGCGCAGACAACGGCGAGGTCATCGGCTGCGCCGGGGGCTGCATCATCGAGTCAAGCACCGGCTCGACCGAGGCGGACTACGGGGAGGACATCAACCGCCTGTGTCCCGCGTTCGGCTGCTCCGGCGACCAGTGCCTCCCGGACGACACCGCCAACACCCTGTCGGAGCACGGCGGCATGGCCCAGGGCGCCAAGATCGCGGCGATCGATATCTTCTACGGGGACTACAGCTACGGCGACCTTGCCGGGAACGGCCTGTGGGAGACCTGTGCGGACGCCGGCTGCAAGATCCACTCCAACTCGTACGGCGTCGACCTGCGGTGCCAGCTGACCGCGCTGGACGTGCTGTACGATGAGTACATGTACGAGGTGAGTCCGCAAAGGGGAAGGGGAGGTAGGTAGATGGTGTCGTGTTGCTTCGCTTCTACGGCCTGTGCTGTTTGGATTTTCCGAGGGCAGCAGGGTAAGGTGGGGATCGTGTGGTGTTTGCTTGCTTTGCTATTGGTGAGGGGGGGGTCGGGCCCTCTCGACATGTGCCTGCTGTGCTCTTGATGGTTAGAGCACCCAGTGGGTAGTTGGCCTTTCACCACGGAAGGCGTCCGCGTCATCAGTGCGGCCGGTGCAAATGGTAGAAGGTAAATGACCGGAAGGGTTGTTCTTGATGTGAAGACAACCCTGTACAAAACCGTCCCAGTTGCCCTTGAACCGCTGACGGCGTCTCGTCATCAGTTGGACCGGTACGGATGGTAAGACGTAGTGGGCAGAGACCGGAAGGATTGTTTTTGTTGTGAAGACAACAACAGCAATTACATCAACAACATCCCTGTACGGGAGCGCCATCGCAAACGAAAAGCGAGTTTCACCATGAAAACGGGCGTGCCCGCACTGAGCGGCTTGTTCTCGGGGTGTTCTTGTCTCTAACGGGGTACCAGTACCACTTGTTATGATAGCAGCCAGCACACATGGGCGTTGACAGCAGTCTTGCCGCCAATTTGCCGCTGTGGAGGATCTACGTCAGAACCGGCTCAGGAGGAGGGATATCCTGTAGATTTAGGAATATTTTTGAACAGAGGGTATCGTCCTCCAAAGATGGGACTACCGCGGAAACGGACGCCTCCATAACACGTGACCTGAGGAATCGAGCGCCGTACAGTACTTCCTGCTGCCATGCTTCGCCAGGACGTGCGGGTCAGGTGTCGAACAATCGGGTATATGATGCGGTCTCGAAGCTTACACAGCCATCTTCTTGTATGTGCATCTGTTTCTTTGTCTTGGTTGTGGTTTTCGCGAGATATGATCAAGTCAACCCATTGCTTGTCCTTTCTACGTGTACGCGCGTTTCCTCGGCGCTATGTGTCGCTCCCTGCTGCTCGCCCTTAGAACCAAGAACATCTGCTGCTTTTCTCCGCCGGGAACACTGGATGGACCACTGACCGCGATACGTGCACGATCGATTCTCCGGGAATCGCGAAGGTACACACACTCTAACACGTCATGATTGCTGCCCTTTGTGTCGTGCTGCGGCAGAGGCACCAAGCGTACTACCAACAATTTCCGACGACGCTAAATATACAAACATATTGAGTGGTTCGACGCGTAATTATGTAGTTATAGCGTCCCGCTTAGAGGAGGATCTCTTTGTTTTACTCGAGCGGTAGCCTCTTCCACTCGCCTCTCTTGTACGGCAGTATTGAGCATCGGTCGTGTCCATCAACGACGTCATCCCCAGCAACAGCCACTACCACACAGGGCAATGCGGCCACCACCACATAGGGAAAAGGTTTTGAACCTAACGTGAGTTCATTGTTTACCCCCGCGACGCGTCTCTTCCTACGTGACACGTTAAATGCGCTGTGTATGCGTTTGTGCTACCTGTGTACCGTCCGTCCGTCCACACCACACGTGCCCCTCACGGCTCCTGTTGACGCGCTTCTACCTGATACGCCAAACGGCCCAAGCACTACTCTTGTACTTTGTACTCTCCCCCCGGTCTAACAAGGCATACAGAACAAGGGTACACCCCCCTCCCCCCTGACAAAGTAGGAAGGAACGATTGGCCATCGGTGATCGGTCCTGTGGGAGCAATGCTCCCTCCTCTCGAGGACGCGTGGTCAATGGTCTAACGGTTAAGGCATGCAGTACGCCCCCCCCCCCCT